TAATCTTGTAGGCATATCAACTATCGATCTTCATTTGCTTATAAGGAGGTAAATGAATGAAAAAAAACTCCAGAGAAACTCTTATTTCCGCATCACAAAGTATGTTAATGAAAGGATGAAATGAAAGCCATGACTATGCATTAATTTGTAGACGTATAAACGCTACCATATGAAATAAAATTTATCATTTCGCTGTCTTGGGAGCATGTTTGAGTTATTATTCGGTTTATCTATAATGACAAGTTGTCTTTGTTGCCTGCATATTGAACACATGCAGACAGTTCAACATAATGCTTATGATCAAGATCCTTATGCAAAGGAGTTTGGGATCAAAATTAGTGAAAAGCTCGCGTCGGTTGAGGCTCGTATCCTTCCTGCCCCTTGGGTAATATATCTAAAAATTTGTGCATAGTATGAAAAAAAAGGATGATTGTTAAATTGACCGTCTAATTGGCTCCTTGCAGCTGAAATATCATGAAACCGGAAAAGAAAAAGATTGTTTGCCTCAAGTTGGGCAGTGGAATATGATGAACAAGGTAATATTCTTTTCTAAAAAAAGACATTCTAATTGCTCTACCAAGATAGATATATTCTTATTTGAGCTTGGTTTGCTAATATGTTGGCTTCTTGTTTTTATGTGATCTAGAAAATGATCAATGGAATGACCGTAAGCCGATGGGCGTGTATCAACTTCTCACGGAGTGTGCAAGAGAGTGTGCTAGGGGGTTTTGCAATGAACTTGCTCAAATGTGCCAAGTTTCTGGCATGGTAGTTTTCTATGTCTTAGTATCTTCGACACTCGAGATCTGCGTTCTAGTTTCTTTTCCATATATCTTTTCTATTTAATAATGGAGTGTAACTTTATTGGTCATTGCTGTTTCGTAGGAATTCAATTCCGAGCCTGTTATTCCGATCTACAGCGCCAGGCCTGAGCAAGTGGAAAAAGCTTTGAAGCATGTTTATCATGCATCAATGAATAGAACTAAGGGAAAAGAACTAGAACTTCTATTAGCTATACTGCCTGACAACAACGGCTCGCTTTATGGTATGTTATATCATATGATCATTTGCTGTTCCAATTCTAAGATACATACGGTATTGGTGGCTTCTTAAACCGTACACCTTGAATGATCTTGTCATGGTAGTAGTGTACGGAATCGTGACATTGTTCTACCCTTTCAGGTGATCTCAAGCGAATTTGTGAAACCGATCTAGGATTAATATCACAATGTTGTCTGACAAAGCATGTCTTCAAGATCAGTAAACAGTATTTGGCTAATGTGTCCCTTAAGATCAATGTTAAGGTTAAATAATTTCTCCCAGTTATATACGACTTCAAATAATTTTGTTCCCCTAAATGATTTCTTTCGAACTTTATACTAACATTACGATCATTATATGTGCTTTCTGAATCCTTTTTCACAATACATATTAAATATCGCCTATTAAATGACTGCCTTTTCGTTGTCGCAGATGGGTGGCCGAAACACGGTTCTTTTGGATGCTATCAGCTGCAGAATACCATTAGTTAGTGATATACCAACCATAATATTCGGAGCAGATGTGACTCACCCCGAAAATGGAGAAGACTCGAGCCCCTCTATTGCAGCAGTATAGTTCTTTTTCCTAGCTTATTTTCCTCGAACATGTATCTATCCTGGTGCTAATTTTAACTCTTTCTGAAATATGTCGGTTCTTTAGGTAGTAGCTTCACAAGACTGGCCGGAAGTGACAAAATATGCCGGACTAGTTTGCGCTCAAGCTCATAGACAGGAACTCATACAGGACTTATACAAAACGTGGCAGGACCCTGTACGTGGCCCCCTCAGTGGCGGCATGATCAGGTATGCTGATGTTGATTCTGTTGCACATGTACCTTTAGCTTCGAAGTTGCACGCACTTTCTTTCTAATTTCGGTTTTTAGTGTAGGGATCTTCTCATATCTTTTCGGAAGGCAACCGGACAGAAGCCGCTGAGAATAATATTTTACAGGTTTGCGATGTAAAATATATCGGCTAATATTTCTGACACGCTACTCGAATTCGACATTCAATCATGAGTTGCATCCACTGCTCATGCATATGTATAAGTTGTAGGCCTCTCTTATACTAATTGGCTAATAATTATTCGAGCAGAGATGGTGTGAGCGAAGGACAATTTTATCAAGTTCTACTCTACGAGTTAGATGCAATCCGGAAGGTGTTGTATCGACGTATTTTCTTTTGGGATCGAATTCAGTATATACAAATTCGGAATGTTTATGATTCTGATAAATTATTTATTATAGGCCTGTGCCTCTCTAGAGCCGAACTATCAACCACTGGTGACTTTCATCGTTGTACAAAAACGACACCACACTCGATTGTTTGCTAATAATCACAGGGACAGAAGTAGCACTGACAAGAGTGGAAACATTTTGCCTGGTAAAAGATTAGATTATCGTGATACTCCGACTTCGGATAGCTTGAGCATCATTAATCGTTCTCATGATTGTGCATTTTGTACTTGTTTTCAGGCACCGTTGTTGATTCGAAAATCTGTCATCCAACAGAATTCGACTTCTATCTTTGCAGCCATGCCGGTATTCAGGTAAAACATTAATATCCTATAAACTTTTTTCAGTTTCTTTAGGCTTTGCAAGCACCGATATCATCTCATTCCTTGTGTTATCGACATGCCTAGTGTAAGCGTTCTTCGTTAACTTTTGGCAGGGAACGAGTCGACCGGCACACTACCATGTTCTTTGGGACGAAAACAATTTCACGGCCGATGGAATCCAGTCTTTAACAAACAACCTTTGCTACACATACGCAAGGTGCACACGCTCGGTCTCCGTCGGTTAGTTTTTCGTATACTTTGGGGACCAAATTCTGTCATTCATTTGGACAACAATGTGGATGTTATAGCCAGCCATTTGATCAATGATTAGCAGTAATCTAATCAGCTGGTTTGCGGTTTCGATTGCAGTTCCTCCTGCATATTATGCACATTTAGCCGCATTCCGAGCACGGTTCTACATGGAACCGGAGATGCAAGACAATAGCTCGATGGGCGGCGGTACGAAGGCGGGAGGAGAATCCGGGGTGCGGCCGTTGCCGGCTTTGAAGGAGAACGTGAAGAGAGTAATGTTCTACTGCTAGACAACAGCTTTTCATGTCAATTTTTATGTGTACAGTTAACGGTTCGTGAATGGTTTAGGTAGTTCTGTTTTCCTAGATAAAGAAAATGTAGAAAAAGGGATAATGGCACAGTGCCCCCCTGTACTTTAATGAAACCTCCATATGATGTTTTAACTTTCAAAATGTTTAATATGTTCCCTGTATTTTATTTTCGTGTTCTACTATGCTCTTGATTTTATCGGCAGTAAAATATTTTGGGAATTGATTTGGTACGACATTTTAAATTTTATCCTTATTTGATTTTAATCTGATCTAAAATCCAATATATTTTGATCATGAATTGTTTCATATTTTATAATAATTAATTTTGATTATTATTATTATTCAAATGTGTAATAAGATAAAAATTAAATCTTTCAAATATTCAAATGTGTATTATTATTATTTTTATTATTTTTATTATTATTATAATTTTTGTGAGAAAAAATTAATCTTAAAAATCAAAATACAAGATTGTAATCTTCTATAATATAAATTTTGTTAAATCTACAATGTGAACACGTGAAAGCATGTATTAAGATAATTTTATTTGGATTCTGGTGGTGAGTGATATATATTTGAGAAGTTTTTCCCCAAAATAATTTAGGGTTTATATTTTCTTTAATTAATTTGAGTATTTTTTTTAATTTGGGTTTTAAAATATTAATAAGTTTAAGATTAAAATTTATTAAGTCTTAATATTTTAAACGGGCTTGGAGATTGAGATGAATTTAAACGAGAGAACATAAATGAACGAACATAAACGAATGGATTAACGAATATTCACAAACGTAGATGAACGAATGAACCCTTTGCCCATGTTCGTTCATTTAATTAAATGAATATAAAATCTTGTTCATATTCATTCATTCAATAAATAAATGAACATAACGAACTTCCCGCCAAGCGACGTTCGGTTCATTTACAGGCCTATCCAACTCATATTGTCATCAACTTTTTAACAAAAAAGGATAAGTTTGAGACATACGAATAGTCGAGTGAGTATTTTATAACTTTTAATAATAGATGAACTCAATAAAATAACACCCTATATATATACACACAAACTAGTGGATAGTATCCAATTATATCATGTATTTTTTTTTAAATTTTACATAGATTTGAGATGGTTGTACAAGTGAAAATAGATTAATGAAATTAATAATTATGGGTGTTCATTGTTCGGTTAAAACCGAATTAACCGAACGAACTGAAATTTCAGTTAATTAATCAATCGATTAATTTTGGATTCGATATGTTAACGGTTAATAGTTTTGGTCAAATTTCGGTTTCGGATAATTCGGTTCGAAATCAGTTAATTAACCGAATCAACCTAAATTATTAAATACTTAATATATTATATATATTATTTAGCTTTAGGAGTGTTTGAACTCGGTTTTTACCGAATTAACCGACCAAATTAACCGAAAAAAATATTTAATATTTAATATTTAATATATATTATTTAAAAAAAATTTGTTAACCGATCAATTAATCAAACTTAGTTCGGTTCAGTTAAATTTTTTTGACAAAATCAAGTTAGGTTAACGATTAATAGAGAAAAAAATTCAATTAATAAAGTTCAGTTAAATTAACCGACCAAATTAATCGAATTACTTATTTGAACACCCCTATCAATAATGTAAATGAGCGGAAAAATTTAACTTGAAAATTAAAATAATAAAATTAAAAAAAAAAGTCGCAAATTGGGTTGTCAATCAACGTTCAAAGTGACCCTACAATGGTTGGTGTGGAAGAAAATTAACTTATGCCAAGTAAAGTTCAAAGAACATGGTTGGTAAAGGAATACATACATCAATATTATATAATATATGATATTATTGGTATTCAAATTGTAAAGTAGCATCTTCAACCAAGCTCAGGATCCACTGAAAATGGAGAAGGAAACCCTAGTTCAGATTCCAAGGGTGAAGCTGGGAACTCAAGGGTTGGAGGTAAGATTCAATGGCTATCCTTTTCTTTTATTATATATATATATACATATATATTAAGAATTAGGAATTATGTTATTGTATTATAAACTATATGAAATAAATCAAATTTGTTGTTGGAGAATCAAACCCCTAATTCATCCACCATAATCTTTTATTATCCCAGATTGTTTTGAGTTCCCAGTTCTGCATATTGGGGTTCGATTTGAATCACTAAATTTGTTAGATACGATAGCATTAACCCAATTGAGCTAAGTTTCCAATTCGAGTTCATTTGAATTCTGTTTAGCTTCTGGAAACAAGGGTAGGCAAGGGATGATTTTCTGGACAAGAAGATATGGATGAATTGATGATTAAATCACCACTTCTTTGTTATGTTGTCTAGAGTTAGTGTCGGATTCAGATATGTGTATCGGTATAAATTTGTTCCGAAAATGTGTTGATTGAATACAAGTACTCGGGAGAAATTTCGGATTCGAGTAACATAGCTTCTATATATCTCTGTTTTCAGGTCTCTAAACTGGGATATGGTTGTGCAGCCCTCTCCGGGTTGTACAATGCTCCTCTATCCCATGAAGAAGGGTGTTCGGTCATAAAGGTGGTTTTTTCTAGGGGCATCACATTCTTCGACACATCCGATCTTTACGGTGATGAACCTTATGATAACGAGATCTTGGTTGGGAAGGTATACAAGTCTCGATGCGAAGTTACGATAGTTATTCTGTGGTTTCATCCTTCTCGTGTGTCGATGTTTCGTTTCAAAGCTCATCTTCATTCATGAACACACATGTTGATGCATGTACATATATGTATTTCCCATTTCTCAGGCTTTGAAGCAGCTTCCGCGAGATAAAGTGCAATTAGCTTCAAAATTTGGGATCTTTAGGAAAGAGGGATTTAACTTTGGGGTGAAAGGGACCCCTGAATACGTGCGGAAATGCTGCGAAGCTAGCCTCGAGCGACTCGGCGTGGACTATATCGATCTTTACTACCAGCATCGTGTAGATACTTCGGTCCCGATAGAAGAAACTGTAAGCATATATCATCTAAAAGACCACTTCTTTTGTTAATGACTTCTGTTCAATGCATCAAACATTTCGAAATGGGACAGATGGGGGAGCTCAAGAAGCTTGTGGAAGAGGGAAAGATCAAATACATTGGCCTATCTGAACCTAGTGTTGACACCCTTAGAAGAGCTCATGCTGTTCATCCGATATCGGCCTTGGAAATGGAATATTCCCTCTGGTCTCGTGAGATCGAAGATGATATAATTCCGGTCTGCAGGTTTGTTAGCATTTGGCTATGATGTTATATTCGGTACTCGAACTTTTCGTGTTAGATACTCAATTCCATCTTTCTCAGAGAGCTCGGTATTGGGATAGTAGCATATAGTCCGCTCGGTCGAGGTTTCTTCGGTGGGAAGGCAGCTGTGGAGAGCTTGCCTACTCAAAGTCTTCTGGTACATCAAATCCATAAGAGTTTCTTTTCCATAAAAAAAAACTATACTTCTTACATATTTGATCCTTCTTATCACAGAAATTCCATCCAAGATTCACAGGGGATAATCTGGAGAAGAACAAACTCGTATACGCCCGTATTGAAAACTTGGCGAAAAAGCATGGATGCAGCCCTCCTCAGTTGGCTCTGGCGTGGCTACTACATCAGGGGGAAGACATCATTCCGATCCCGGGTAAGTTCGGTAAGCCATATGTTATTCTAATTCGAGTGCAGTGATGAATACGGGTTTCGAATCGTGTTTTTACAGCTACAACAAAGATTAAAAACCTCGAAAGCAACATCGGATCGTTGGCCGTGAAGCTGACACAAGATGATTTGAAAGAAATCCGCGATGCGGTGCCGGTCGAAGAAGTTGGTGGCGACAGAGAGTATGATGCTTTTACTGATTATTGCTATAAGTTGGCAAATACACCGGAGAAGTGATTGTAAATGGAAGCACCATTACCAATATTGAAGCCCTCTGTGCAAGCGTCTGGTTTTCTTCTGTGCTTGGTGATTTTCTTAATAGCGGGAGCGGAATGAGTTGTCCAAAAATCGAATTTAATATATTATATTAATCCGAATGAGTTGTTCGAAACTCGATCTAATACGAGGATAAATCATATCATTTACTGCTTAACTATTTAGCTCTTTTATTTTTATCATCCATCTTCCTACTTAGTCATACTTTTAGTAAATAAAAATAAATTAAAAGTAAGATTAAATTGAGAGAATATTTAAATAATAGGGATTAAATTATAATTATATCAAAATACTTAACTGTTAGATCTCTCACCTAATTTGTTAACCGTTAACCAAGAACAATTAAATAATTTAGTGGTCTGATTGACAAAATTAAAAAATTAATAGTAAAATAAAAAGATTAATAGTAAAAGGACGAAATAATTAAATGATTAACGGTATAATTTCCCCTTATATTAATCGGAATGAGTTGTCTGAAATTCGAATATAATACAATTATATTAATCGGAACGAGTGGTCTGGAAACTCTCCTTTCATTTTATATTGCAAGTTGATATGCATTAATATTAGGATGAAATATAAAAATAGTCAGTCAATTATAGTATACCTTTTTATTGAACCTCTAAATTATGAAAAGTTACAAAATTGTCACTAAACTTAGAAAACTGCTAATAAATTACGTTTTCTTATAAAAAGAAACGAAAAATAGCATGATAATTAATAAAATTAATATTATAATATATTTAATTCTAATTTTAAAAATTAATTCTCAATATTTATTTATCTACCAAGTTAACCCCTAAGCAAATTTCATCTCTATTATAAAAACAGCAATTGAAAAAAATTAATAAACGTCCACCACTACCGCCATCAACACTGCAGCGGCAGCCGCAGCTATTAGCCACAAACTTCTCCACCTCTTTTTAATGATTGCTATGGATCTAAAAATTTAAAGGTTAAACTACGCATTTAGTGCTTAAACTATTAGTTTTAGTATTTAAACTATTTTTTTTTTCAAAATCATATCTAATGTTTTTTTTGTTTCATTTTATTATTCCCGTTAAAAACTTAACGCGTTTAGTACCTAAACTTTAGATATAATTTTGAAAAAATTAAAAATTTAGGTACTAAAACAAACTAAAATTGATAGTTTAAGTACTAAAAACATAATTTACCCAAAACTAAAAGTTGATCTAAAATTTTATTTTTTTTAAAAAATATTCTCTTTAATATATCAAATTAAATTTAAGAATTTTCTCAAACTAATAACTATGTAATTGCTCTCATTTTAATTGTTGGATGGACATAAGTTTATTTAGAGATTAAATTGATGAATATATTAAAATATATTTTTTATAAATAAAATAAATTAAAATAATATATAAATATGAAATACCATAATGTTCTGTCGAGAATCCAGCAGCGGCCACGTTTACGGTGAACGACATGAATAGTCCTTTGTTGTGTTTAGGGTTTGTTGCATTGTAGATGGTATAAGTATTTTAACCATCAAAATTCAAAATGATAAGAATCCAAATTAAAGAGAGACCGAGTAGAGAAGGACAGAGCTTTGTGCATAATTACAATGGGAAAATCAGACAAGTTCAAAAGATGGACACTTGGGCTTCTGTCGGTGGGTATGTCGTTATATAATCCCTTTGAGGCTAGACTTGGCTGGGTTGCTTTCTACACACTATTGAGCGAGTCTCTCTCAATGAAACCCTATTGGCCCTCAAGCTTTTGCTAGGATGGCAACTCAACCCGATTCCGACGGGTTCCGACTCGACCCGAAAAATATATATAATTTTACCTATATATTTAAGGTTAATTACAATATTACCCCTCTATATATAATTTTTTTAATTAAGTCACTATTTTTATTAAATAAAAATATTTTTTTTAATTATTTCGGGTCGGGTCAGGTCGGATTTCTAAGTCATATATTCGGGTCGGGTGAAACCTTAATTTCTTCGGATCGGGTCGGATCACGGGTGGATGACTCTTTCTTCTCGAGTCGGGTCGGATGACCCAAAAACCCCGACCCGACCCATTGCCATCCCTAGCTTTTGTGTATGCTTCAATATGCTTGTTTGATGGCTGCACTTTATTTTTTATAATCATCAATATTCTATACGTTAGTTTGATTGATTGTGATCAAATAGTATAAAAAATTATTATGAAAATGATATTCTTAAAAGAATATTAAATTTTATCTTATTAAATCAATTAATTATGGGTATCAAACATTTGAGCACTAGCATTAGCAAATAGAGGTGTTTAAATGCGTTCATTATCAAATTATTTAGAATCTTTAGGACATATATTACCTTATAATTTATTTTTATAATTTTTATGCAAATTATCAAAATTAAAATTGATATCCTTTTAAAATTATTATATATTAATATTTTTAAAATTATGAAGTCACAATTTAAAATTTATGGCTGTTGAACTATGTTTCGATATAACAATTTAAGGCAAAATGGTTTTTGGACTTGAATTGAATTTACAAAATGTTTTTGGACTTAATTGAATTTATTCAAAGTTTTTAAAAGGTTTCAAAAATAATTCAAAATCAATTAAAATTCGGATTTGAGCCAAAAATATTTTAAGGGGTTTCAAGATTGCCCAGGGGGTACAGATACCCCCCAGGGGGTACAGATACCCCCTGCAGGTTTTTGCCTCCGAGAAAAACAGAATGTCCAGGGAGTACCGATTCCCCCCCCAGGGGGGTACCGATTCCCCCCCTGTTCAACAGCCCAACGATCATAATATTTGAATATTATGAAGGGGTATCGATTCCCTATGAAGGGGTACCGATTCCCTCTATTCTGGGCAACCTTTTTGAGTATAAAAATCATCCCCAAACGGCTCCAAAACATCCCCAACGGCTATATACGACTTCAAACTCATTCCAAGCTATAAATACAAGCTGAGGACACTTGAAGAAGCAAGAGAACAATTATCCAAGCAATCAAACACAAGAGAAGAGTTTTTCAATCTTATTTCATCTTTCTCTTGTAAATATTTTGTTCTTGAGAGCTCAATCTTGTAAACACCTACCTTAGAGAGGTTTTCTTGTTTACATTTCTTATCCTTTTGTAAAGGGGAAAGGTTCTAGCTTAGCCCGTGTAAAAGCTAGGGAAAGGTTCTAGTTTAGCCCGGAAAAACTAGGGAGTTTGTAAGGTTACTCTTTATCCTCAAAAGAAAGAACAAATTAGTGAATTTGTTGGAAAATCCTTGGTGAGGAGCTAAGGTAGTGGACGTAGACTTTGATTGAGAAAGTCGAACCACTCTAAATCGCTGTGCAATTTTCTATCTTTCAATCTCCTTACTCCCTAAACACAAAACCGTTCCGACCCCTCTTTGCAAACCGTTCCGGTTGTCGATTCGAGCTTCCGAAAATCCTAACGCTGGCCTATTGATATCAAGAATGTTTATGAAAATTGAAGTTTTAGGTTTTCTACCAAATGTAATGCTTACTAGTATGCATCTTAGGGTGTGTTTGATAGCTGAAAAATATTTTACGTAAAATATTTTCCAGTGTTTGATAGTTGCAATTGGTTTTACGAAAAAATATTTTTCAGTGTTTGATAATTGTAATTGATTTTCTCAATATAATTCATTTTCCTAATTCTTTTGTATTCTCTGTAAATTATTTTACCATCTGATTTTTCGTAAAATATTTTCTTAACTTTTTCACTTTAGTGTGTGTTTGATAGCAGATTTTTCGGAAAATGTTTTCCTCATTTTCCCGTGTTTGATAGCTAGAAAATATTTTCTGAAAAATGTTTTCTAATGTTTGATAACTACAATTGATTTTAAGAAAAATATTTTCCAGTGTTTGATAGTTGTAATTGATTTTCATAATGTAATTCATTTTCTTAGTTCCTTTATATTTTCTTAAAATTGTTTTACCTTATGATTTTTCGTAAAATATTTTCCTAATTTTTCACTTTAGAGTATAATCACTCAAAAAATGGATATTAATATTTTAATATCATTTTAATAAAAATAATTATTAAAATATGCATAATATAATTTTAAGAATATTATATTAATATATACTCAAATATATTATAATAATATATGATATTATATTTTTAATTTAGTAATATATAATAAATTATTAATATTTATTTATTATTTTTATAAATATAACATTATTAAATTATTAATCATGAGTAATATTAATTTATATATTTAATATTAATATAATAATTTAATATTATGTTAATAAAATACTAATAATTAAAATTAAAGGTGTTCAAATGGTTAATCCAACCACCAAGCAAATTGAATTACCATTAACCGAATAAACCAACTTTTTTCTTTAATCATTAATTGAATCAATTTTTTTTTTTAAATATTAATCTAACCGAACTTTATTCATTTTATGTAAATCATTTTCTATAAAATTAATTATAGTGTATCAAACAATTAGTGAAATTGATTTACACAATATCATCAAAACACCGTAAAATAGTTTCCGAAAATTATTTCCCAAAAAATGTAATTCATTTTACATAAATTACTTTCCAGAAAACAGTTTTCATGTAATTTATTTTGCATAAAACAGTTTTCAGGTAATTCATTTTACATAAATTACTTTCCATAAAACCAATTATAATATATCAAACAGACCCTACATTTAAAGTATATATCCATCAATCCATCGATTTAAATATCTTTTTATTAATCTAGGATAAGTATAAAGCAATATATATTCAAAGATAACCTTTAACTTCTTGACACTGAACGACTCGTATTCTCGGTACTCGAATTCAGATCTTTAAAAAATAACAACAATTACTTTACCACATAAACCATTTGATTCGTGCAAATAAATTTAAATTTTATTTCTGTTAATTTTTTATGTCTCAGCTTATTTTTAAATCAGAACGACATATATCCATTAAAATATAGAGGAAACATATTAACTATACATGAATTATCGCGTGAGATGTCATGTTGAAAATTTAACACTTCGGTATTTTTGTTTTTAAGGTATTTATAATTTTTTATTTATTGAGAGTTAAATTAAATTAATTTTTTCAAAGACTGAGAGATAAATCTAATTAAAAAATAATAAAAATCGAAATGGCCGGATTTGTAAAGATTAAAATTTACATTATTAGAGTATCTAGAATTGATTAATCGAAAGAAAAAAAAAGATATATTTGAGTGATATATTATTTTATCTAATTATATTTGGGTTTTTATTTATTTTTTATTGAAAGAAAGTGCACATTTATTAAGGATTCCGAGGTATATTTGGGTTTTTAAATTAATTCTAGTTTTAGTTTGAATAAATTTAATTTAATATTTATAATGATTAATTTTAAGGGTAAATTATAAGTTTAGTACTTAAACTATCAATTTTGTTCCATTTTAGTACCTAACTTTCAGTTTTTTTCAGAATCATACCTAAAGTTCAATTTTTGTTTCATTTTAGTACTCCGCCATTCAAAACTTTAGTTTTTGTTTCATTTTATTTTCACGTGCAAAATTTAACGTTATGTTTCGGGAAAATTGAAAGTGTAAGTACTAAAACGGACCAAAACTAATAGTTTAGGTACTAAACTCGTTAAGTTTTTTAACGGCGGAGAACTAAATGAAATGAAAACTAAACATTCGGTATGATTTTGAGAAGAAAAAAAAATTAAAAGTTTAGCTACTTAAACGGACCAAAATATATAATTTAATTTGTTTACCCTAATTTTAATTATAACTAGGTATTTATAGAATATAAGGATGGGAACTAAAGAAAATAAAAGCTAGGGCATTCCCAAGTTCCACCAATGGGTTTTGCTAGTATTTTTCCCACACAAATTAACACGTTTTCTTTCTCTTAACATGAAAATCTACAGCTTTTAAGTTCTAATATTAAAGAAACATAGTAATTTGTCATTTTTGTGACCTCAAAGGCCACATTGAACTTGATACAGATACGATAAACTAAACGACTTTAATAATTAAGACCGGATTGTTGTTATGTTTTAATGTCTCAAATTCGAGCACGTTATCTTATTCGAGTAGATAAGAAATTCAACGACAGTGAGCTTAATTACCTGCAAATTCTACTTAGGATTAGAACCTAAGAATCCCAGATGCTCAACCAGAACATCAACATCTACAATATCATGATCTTCATCCTGCAAAACTGGTATTTCTTCCTCCATATCATCATTCAACAAATCATTCCAAAACCCTTCACCGATTCTCCTATCTTCATCATGATAGCTAATTCCAGGTTCTTCAATCCCCTCTACATGCTCCAAAACCGGCTGCAAGCCCATTGCAATTTGATCAAACTCTGGAACTTCAAATGCATCAACATTTTCGTGCCTTTGGTTATCGATCTGCCTTCTTCTTTTCGTGCAGATAGCTTCTTCAAGCTCTTTTCTCTTATCTTTCTTCTGTATCAGTTGCTGAACAAAGCTGGGATTCTTCATTGCTTTGGCCAAAAACCCCATCATCTGTTGCTGTTTCATCTCGGTTCTCTTCAGTTTTTCTTCCGTTGCCTGCAAACAAGCCCTGGTGCTGTGCATTTGCTGTCTGAGTTTCACTAGCTCCGCCATTAAAACCTGCTTGTCACGCTTTAAGCTGTCGATATCTCCTTCAACCCCGAATCTCCCAACTTCAACACAAGGATCTAACAGGAGCTGCTGTTTTTTTCTCCTCCTGATACACTTGAGCAAATGCCTTTGCCCTCTAAGGAAACTCTCATTAGCAAACTCCCATCTATCTGGATCAACCTTCCTAAACCCCTACACAAAAACACTAACTTGAATCACATCTAGAGATACATAAACACTGATCTATTGTTACTTACATATGTATTGAGCTGCCTGACAAAGCTGGAGAAGTTGCTGTGCTTGAAGTATTTAGGCAAAAGGGTCATGGAAAATGCTTGGGGATCCCACACAATGAAGCTGTTGTTTCCTCTACTCCAAGAGATGATCCGATTGGTGCTTGAATCATCCACGATTTCATATGTTTTTGTGAGGAAAGGAGGAGGACCTGCATCGTGGAGTCCTTCCATTGGTTGAGGTGCAGCCATGTAATCAGCAGCAGCATAGGCTGAGCTTGAAGCTCCTGGAAACTCTTGTTTAACTCGTCCATAAGGATTCATCTCTTTGCTCAGAACAAATGAAAAGCTGATCTGGGTGAGAAGAGCTTTCAAAAACGGGGGTTGATTTGCAGATTCAGGCCACGGATGGATCCCAGAAGCTCACTAGTCTTGAAAAACAAGGGAACAGTAAAAGAAAACACACATGGAAGAGTTGAGAAACAAGATAGTATGAACATGGGCGTCATTAGGTTAAATGAATATGATTCCAATATAAAAAAATTGCTATTCGTCTTTATATATATATATATATATATATATTGCAGTTATCATTTCTTTTGATTTTGGTTGGGCGGGAGACCGGCTGATGATGCAAAAAAAGTAAGAAAATAAATGGAATGGTTACTCCTTTTAGAAAGTTATTTCTTTCTTTTTATTACCGGCTTGGCTTTTTCATTATTTTATACTTAGGATAAATTATGTGTTTAGTGCTTAAACTATCAGTCTTAGTCCGTTTTAGTAATTAAACTTTAATTTTTTTCAAAATCATAATTAACATTTAGATTTTGTTTCATTTTAGTACCTACCATTTAAAAATTTAACTGACGGGCTCGCTGACCATAGCTTCTACAGTCGTCGGTGGTCTCATCTATCGGCCAATGAAGCTCAAACTTTCTAGCCTACACCTTTTTGACCCCTTGAACGTGATTTCGATCTCCGTTTCACCGAAAAATGCCTTAATATCCCCAAATCGACAATTGACTCTTCGACTTCTTCATCATTCGATCTCCGTCGTCAACTGTCCGATGGGTTTGAACTGGACTATGTTGGTCTGCTCATCATTCTCTTGTGGTCCACTTTCGGATTGGTCGTTCGTCCACAGGAGCTATGTCTCATTAGCCTGTCCGTTAAGCTTTTAGCTACGAGGTACTAAAATAAAACAAAAACTAAATGTTAGGTATGATTTTGAGAAAAATTAAAAGTTTAAGTACTAAGACAGACCAAAACTGATAGTTTAGGTAATAAATACATATTTTCCCTTGTAATTATTATTTATTGATCGACTCATTTAGATCATATATTATATATGTTTATTATTATAGGAGTTATCCTTCCCATCCAATTTATTTCATTCACATTATTCAAATTCGTAACATCATTTAAAGGATATAGTATCACACTTTATTAAATCAATTAGTTGTTGGCTTAATTTTTAAAAAGAATTTAAAAGAATGAAGAACTTTAAAAAAGGAAATGGTGGGCAAAACCCCATTTGCTAGATTGGGACCAAAGAGAAAAGAAAAACTACCTTTGCAAAATGTTATGTTGTATCCAATTGCATTTATGATGATAGTTTAAGAATCAACATAGAATGCTTTAAAGTATAATTAAGAACTAATTTAAAATATGAATTATATAGTTTGAGGATTTCAGGACCAATTTAGAATAGATGTAATATTTAAGAAGTCCACGTGCAATTATTTCTTTTTTTCTTCTCCAAGCGTAATGATGGTATTAAACTTAATACAATATTAGAAGATTGTAGAATTGAGTCTTAAAGAGAAATAATACCCACTTTAGGAAGAAGGGTTTGGACAAATATCTAGCAAATAGTTCTTACTTTATTTGAAAATATCTAAGCATTTAATTAATATTATATGCACTAATCAAAGTGGATTTATGTTTGTTGTCTACCTTTGAACCGATCTAAAAAAATGGTTGTCCCTTGTTCCCATATGTAATGGGGTAAGGGGAGGTAAGATAGTAGGCTGCCCCCAACACCAGGTTGAGAGCAACTTCCGTAGAAGACCTCCGAATTATGAAATGCCCTCCGTGGGACTCGATCCCCACAATCTCAAGGTTAAGAACCTTGTACTCTACCAACTGAGCTGGATAATCATCTCATCTTTGAACCGATCTAGCTTCTTTTATATATTATAGTTTTTGTTTTTTGTTTTCATGCTAACATAGGTTTGGGCGTTTGGCTATTGATATTTTGTATGATCTTACAAACTAATAATTATTAGATTTTATGGTACCGAAATGGTAGTTGAAAGGGAAAAAAACTATATACATATATATAGTTATTAAGAAAAACATTTCAGAATTTCAATTTTCATAACACTTAACCATTTGAAATTTTATAAATACCATTTTATATAAAATATTTTCATTTATGTAGTGAGTAGGCCTGTAAACGAAATGAACGAACACGAATGAGAGTATGTTTATATATGTTCGTTTAACTTTAACGAACAATTAAAGAAACAAAATTCTCCGTTCATGTTCTTTCATTGAGAAATGCAACTTGTTCGTGTCCGTTCATTTAAATGATAAACGAACACAAAGGAAAGAACGTAAATAGACACAAATGAACGAACATAAACAAACATAAATGAGCGAACATAAAATTAATTAGGTTTATATTTGAGAATAGTTTTATTATTTCCGAATAATTTTAGGATTTATATTTTCTTTAATTTATTTGAGTATTTTTTTATTTGGGTTTAAAATTAACTGAATTTTAAAATATTAATGGATTTAAGGTTAAAATTTATTAGGTATTAATATTTCAAACATGTCTGGAGATTAGGTTAAACATAAACGAATGAACATAAACAAACGAACGAGCCATTTTTTCGTGTTCATTCATTTAATTAAACGAACATACAATCTTGTTTATGATTGTTCGTTTAATAAATAAAAGAACAAAAACAAACTTCCCATCAAACGATTCACGAACAACTCGTTCAATATTTAGTTCATTTACGGGCCTAAATTCGTGAGTGTAATTCAATTTTATAAAATATTTTAGAGCTTTCTCGGTCTTTGGTAATATAATGGTAAAAATGAGTTGTTCTTGGAAATTAGGGTTTTGTAATTTAGAGATTGTACAAATTCAAATTTTAAAATTTAAGATTTAAAATTAAAAAAATTATATAAATAAATTCCAGACCCTCTCTTTATCAAATACTAATACAAACTTATAAGATAATACCTTTAAACACTATCGACTGTAGTAGGATAATTAAGCGTTCAACGACAAATAGTTAAGAATATTTAAAACAGATACTGCTTTATAAACACCTTAGCTTAATAAAAAAAATAGTACCTTTACATAGTAGTTAAATTTTAAATGTTGTAGATAGAGGAAATAATATTAAAAGAATATACCTCAAATTTAATCAATTATTTTAAGGATAAACTATGTGTTTAGTATCTAAAGTATCAATTTTGATTCATTTTAATACCTAAACTTTTAATTTTTTAAAACCATACATAAAGTTTAGTTTTCATTTTTATTTAAAATTTAACATTAAGTTTTGAAAACAATTGAAACTTTAAGTATTAAAACGGATCAAAACTGATAATTTAGATACTAAATGCGTTAAGTTTTTTTTTTTTAACTGTGAGGTTTTAAAATGAAACAAAAATTAAACTTTAAGTATAGTTTTGAAAAAATTGACAATTTAGATATTAAAACAGATCAAAATTAATATTTTAGGTACTAAATGTAAATTTACCCTTATATTTTAATTATAGGTAAGATATTGAAATAATCATTATTTTAATTATATAAAGATAATTATATAAAGATAAGTGTTGGACCCACTGTCTCCCATTATTGTAACCAAAAGATTCCCACCCTCCAAAATGGGGAACTCTCTTGAGCCTTCTCACATCAGCAACACTAATTTTTTATTGCAAGTTGGGATTATTTTAATTATTTTATCTTCAAATCCTTTAATTGTGTCGAATAAATAAATTATTTGCATATTAATTATTTTAATTTATTTTATAAAATTTATAGATTTTATTATATTTATGTTGTAGGTAAAAAAATACTACATTAAAGATTATATATATTTAGAATTTTACTAAAATATAGTGAAATCAGCAAGTAATAGAAGAAAATAAATTCAAAAAATATATATTTTTTAATAAAAATAAGATAGTTTGATTAATTTGCCTTTACTTAATTCTATTATTATGACTACAGCTTACTTACATGGTATTGAAGATAATGAGGTACATTGATCGGATAAGGTAAAAAAAAAACGAATCGAGTTTTACTCCTCTCTAATCATATAAGGAAAGAAAAACGAAAAATAAAATGAAAGGTTTGCCACACTTTAGAGCAAGGGTGAACAAAATTCGATTCGACTAGATCGAACGCTCACTGTATATGAGAGTAAATGATAATTAAGTGCACTGGAACATATAATTAGATGGGAGTTTCAATGTTTGGCATACGTCTACATCAAGTTCAGCCCTCGAGAGACTTATGAAACTAAAGAGATGTACATATAAGGACTGCAAATGATAAAATACCTCTAATGAGCAGCTAATGGAACCTCAACATTCTCAGTCAAGCTTTTTATGTACTCTTTCCTTGCAGGATGATCCTCTTGCGGCCGATTATATGCCGTCCAAACCGGTTCTCCCACGAACAACCTCATCAACTGCACATTGTGAAAGGAACACGAATTCGATCGAGGCGATCGGAACTCGCACGTAAATTAAGTTCCCCTGTGCATTCTAACCAAAGCAATTCCACACATTTTCTCACCTTGATATAGTTGCTGGTGTCAAGAGTGAACCTGTGATAGATTCCGGCTGGCAATATAATGAGATCACCCGCTTTGATCCAAATCCGGACCCATCGGTCATCCTTGTCCCTGACATCGAAATATCCGCCGCCTTCCAAGCAGTAGCGTATCTCTTCATCGGCATGTATGTGCTCGGTGTAAAAGTTCCTCAGCTTCTCCTCATAGTTAGCAACTTTCTCCGGGCATAAATCAAGCAAATCCTATACATACAATATAACATGACTCTGTCAAACCGATTATACTCGGTTTCGATTTTCTTTATACGTTCTTCCATGTATTTAGACGATCTTTAGAGGGTCGTATCCCGTACAGGGATCTTCCGAATAGGCACCGGACTTGGTATCAGACATAATATTGACTACAAGAAACAGAACTCCTGGTCTAGGGGATGTTGTCACTCTAAATATAGTCCTATCTAGATTCAAATAGGTCAAGGTAAAAAAGAAAGTGGCTGCTATGATATTGATCTCGAAAAGCAATATCTCAATGGTTTGCTTTGCTTCAGGAGTTACCTCCGACATTAGCCGGGCCTAGGTTTTAGTGTCGGACATAGATAAATGTCCGACATGATACACATGCCTGAATAAGACATGGGTCAGCCACAAGTACATAGGGAAAATGAAAAATCAAGATAACATAGGTTCTTGTACACAAACCAAATTCATCTGTAACCTCTAGAATGTGCAGCCAACTTTTCAAGCCGGTTATAGGTCAAAAACTCTAAAATTAACACCAAATTTGTTTTAACACGGCTAAAATGTATATAAGAAAGGGCTAGAAGAAACAAAATTACCATTTATCTGTAACCTCTAGCTTCTCGGATTTTCTTCAGACAAAAAACTTTAAAATTAATTCTTATTACCAAAATCAACTATACATTTTTTTATGAATAGGCGCCTAAAGTATTTTTGATTCATCTTGGTGTCTAACGCTACAAACGTTACTATTTTAGGTGTCCGGTCCATAACGGCCGTTAAAAATCTCCGTTAAAAGACACATGTCACGTTCATGTAATTTTAAAAAAATTATTTAAATTAAAAACATAATATATATATATATATTTTAAAAAACCATTTTTTTCTGAAATTACAGAGAAAGTCCTAAAATTCTAAAATAGTTTATTCCAAAGTCGCCGCCGTTGAACCACTAACCCATCACCAAACATTATAATTTTGTCGTCGTTCAACAACACATTAAGAACAGATGACTCAAAGCCACGGAGACCGTTGGATACCATCTGCTTGACAACCTCCGTCATTTTCCCTTTCTGTCATTCACCTCTCATCGACTTCATCGACAACCTCTCACCGTTGTTTCCCCTCCAAAAACAACTAAATAATCTAATATATTTGGGATAAGGGTGAGAGATTTGCGGATTAAGGTTAGGGATTTATGTTCAAGGATTTAGGGGGAGTGAGACAACGACATGAGGGATGGTCTGCAGTAGAGGACTGATGATGGGTGGACGGCTGTTCGATGATGCCAAAGGCAGCTGGTGATGACCGACGATGGTTGGTATAGGGTTGGAATAAAGAATTTTAGGGTTTCAAGGTTCTTTTTGTATTTTCAATTTTTTTTAATTTAATAGTATTTTATTTTTTAATTTAAATAAAAAAATAAAATTATCAACATGTGTCACTTAGCGGAGAAATTAATATCATTGACAATTTGAACACCTAAAGCAGTAAGCCGATAATGTTTGTAACATTAGGCACAGGAAAAATAAAAGATACTTTAGACAAGGGGCGGATGTATATGGCTCGATAGGGGAACCATTACACACCCATTATTTTGAGAAAGTGTTAAATTTAGTTTAGTTTACTAATGAGAATAGGAAAAAATTAAGAAAATTTGCGCTCCCAATTTTTTTTAAAATCGAGTATTAAAATTTTGACCCTCATTTTTTAATTTCTAGATCAACCACTGCTTTAGACACCTATTCGTAAAAATATGTATAATATGAGATTTTTTTTTGTATTAAGCGTAAAATTAACACTAAATTTGTTTAAACAAAGTTAAAAATGATAAGAAAGGTGAAAAGAAACAAAATTACCATGTAATTGTAACCTCTAGCTTCTCTGATCTTCTTCAACTCCTCATCGTTCTCGTAATCCTTGGGGTTCAAATTCCAATACAACACTCCAATCTCTGCCATTTATTCAAACCCCATCATTTTCATTAACCCAATAACCCAGAAAAATATAACCGAAGAACGATTAGATCTCACCTGCCAAGTGGTCTAACGAAACAGGCTCGTTGGGATTGCGCTTGTGAGGAAGCCTTTGATCTTCATTGCTTTCATCCATAAACCAAGCCTTTTTTTGTATTTCAAAACAAAAACCAATATCAGATCAATCCCCGAATCAATTGAACTTAGAATGAAAGTGGTAGCGATTAGCGAAGAAACTTACCTCGATAGCCATGGTTGTTGTTGATGACTCGTTAAATGTAACACCCACAGATCGATACAGATGACCCGATCCGATCCAAGGTATCACATTAGGGCTACAGGAGCAACCACATTAAAAATCTTTGAAAATTTTAAAATTTCTTTTAAAACGTGTAAAATTATAAAACAATTTATAATTAAAATAAAAGTTCGGAAAACCATTCAAATATTATAGACAGGACTAAAATCATACACGTTTCAAACTCGGATATAAAAACAGAATACCACCTACATGCCACCTAAACACATACACCGTACTCCACAATTAACGTCGATAGAACTCCTTTACTATTGTCGATAGTTGCATTGGTTCAATCCTTTTAACCTGAAATAGTGAGTAACAAAGTGAGTTTTGGAAAGCTCAGTAATATAATACTACCAAGAGATGTTGAAGGACATGTAGATAATGGGTAAGCATAATTTTCCTTATTAATTCAGACATCTACAGATTTTTATGCTGAGCTGAGGTCCCACTGATATCTCAGGTAGTAAAAGACAGAAAGCTTTCAGTTCAGAGGAAATGTTTCGGATGACTGGGTTCAGGGAGATCAGAATAGGTTGTCTAGTGTGCTCTTACAAAACCAGTGAAAATGTACAGATCCTTTTTAAAACAGTAGCAGTTTAAAACATATCTTTAAAAATCATAGTAAAACCCTCCAACTGAACACCAATATGCAGTTCCGCATAACTGCATCTATAAGGACTTACCCTAGGTCCATAGGGCATAGGTGTCAACCTAAGGGAGCACCTTGGGTCCATAAGGTCTTACCCTAGCCGAAGCGTAGGTGCCCACCTGAGGGGAGTGCCCTCAGGCCCATAAGGACTTACCCAACGCACACAGCAGAAGAGCCACCCTAAGGGAGTGTCTTAGGGTCCATAAGGTCTTGCCACTAGGCCCATTAGGCCCAAGAGCCCACATAAGAGTCGCTTTAGGTCCATAAGGAATTACCAGTCAGTGTTGAACCTATACAAGGAATTACCAGCAGCGACTGAATCTGCCAGAGTCTTCAGTCATACCAGAGACCTAAAGTACCCCGTATAAAAATAATTTCAGTCAGTAAATAGAGATATCAGAACGAAAATCAGAGATCAGAACAGATATCAAAGTTCAGAACATAAATCAGAGGCCAAACTGCATTTTAGATAACAGAGACATACTTTTAAAATCAGAGAAAACATCCGTGTGATCAGGGAACACACTAGAGGTTTTAGATATTATTCGGAGGTGATTGTTATTTATCAGATAGGGAGTCATGAAACTTCTGTAAGCTGATTAAATTCAGAGATGATATCCCCATAAAAGGGTTTGATAGCTAACAGATTCTTTAGTTATTCAGAATGTGATTTTTCAGGATTATGTAATATTCAGATATTTTCCGGAGGCACTATTAAATCAGAAAGGTATTCAAAATCCTTTGCATCAGAGTTACTCGTTTTTTCAGATATGAAGGAGTGATTCCATTATTCAGGAAATCAGAGGCATTTTGGGCATTAAGTTCTTGGAGAATTCTTAGTGATTTGAGCTAATAAGGGAGAAACGAAGATTCAGGGAATTTACAATTTGTGTCGATCTATCGGACTATCGAGTTAACACGAACTACACAAATTCCAGCAATGATATGTGTCAACCGGTAAAATCGTTGCACTTCAAGGGTATTCACTCCTTAATACAAACAACTCTTGTCAATTGATCATCTTCTGGATAATCGCTGAATGAATCTTAGGAAGACGAACAGATATTCCACTGGTCTTTATTTCATTTCTACATTTAAATGATATCAGGAAATGTCGACGTGCTTGATTCGTGGTTCAAAACCCTTATGAACAGTACAATATATAAGATCATCAGTATTTCCAGACTTACCCAAATTATTCGCTTAATTCAAGGTCATTGGGGTACTTAAATCAATTAGTATTCAAGTTTATCCCGATCACTTCGGAGTTTCCAGAGTAATTCTATCGTTTTAACAACTCGAATACTTACAATACTTCTATTCAGTTCAACTTTGTCTTTTCGATCAATTCAAACATGTAAGATATTTTCGGTAATTTAGCCTCCGGGTGTTTGTTCAAGAAAAACTAGAAATTTTTAAGTCTTTTACCATCTCAAAGATTATGATCGATTAACATGATTATTTCCACTTTCCTGGGAAATCCTTATCTTTATATCATACCGGTATTTTCGTAGTTTCATATCTAAGTATTTCCGACATTTAACCTTTAAAGAAATAAATATGAATTTAATACTTTAAATAAATCAAAATTTTCTCAAATTTTACGATATTTTAAATTTTAAAATTTTAATCATTAATATGACATGAGATAAATAATGTCATGTTATTATGAAATATATATATAGATTAAAAATTTAATACTTTTTGAATTCATCAAATGATTTAAATTGTTAAAGAAAGTGTTTATTCTTTTTTGAGATCTGAATTCAAGCAACTATATCAATAGAGTATTTGTATTATCAATAATTAAAAAAATTGAATAGATATTATTTTTGTAAATTATAATAATCCCAAACTATTAAAAAATGTTAATATTTTAATTAAAAATGAATTTTTATTTATTTCTTATATTTACTATTTTTATTGATAAATCAATTCAATAAAATTTTATTATAAACCAATTCTTTAAATTTAATTTCTTTTTACAATATCAATTTTTTTATAGTCAATCTCTGGATAATATATATGCCCTTCTCTTTCTTATGATTTTGTGAATTGTCTTCGACTTGGGACACGCACGCAAAACCAAAAAAAAAAAAACTTTAGTAATAGCACTCTCTTGAGCTGAGTTTGATAACCTTCTCCGCCAGCTCCTTCACGGCATGGGCGTATTCCGCCAACACTACCGCCGCCGCCGCCTCCACCTCCATCACCACATCGTAGCTGCCTTAACTTTTCTCTTATTTGCTTCCGCTTCAGCCAGAAGTCTTTCTCAACTCGGTAACTCCTTTAAAATTCCTTTTCAACTTGAATACTCATGCAGCAATCCAGCCATTGACTCGGTCGAAACTCAGTACAGTTTTGCTCTTACTCGTGCAGAAAGCGAGTTCCGGGTGAGAGAAGGGAGCAAGAAGAGAAGTGGGTCGGAGGTGACGGACCGGTTCTTGTCTCAGAAACAACACAGCGGTCCGGGTTCTCAGCCACCTTCTTGTAGATCCAGCTGTGGGAGTTGCTCGCCCTGTAAACCGGTTCACGTCCCGATTCAACCGAGCTTGATGATGCCGCTCGAGTACTACCCTGAAGCTTGGCGTTGCAAGTGTGGCAACAAGATTTTCATGCCCTAAAAACATATGGCAACATGATAATAAGAGGGTATATTAAAATATCAGTTTTGGTTTATTTTAGTATTTAAATTTTTAATTTTTTTAAAATCATGTCTTACGTCTCGTTTTCATTTCAGTACTCAACCGTTAAAAATTTAATATTTTTAGTAATTAAATTATTAATTTTGATATGTTTTAGTGCTTAAATTTTTAATTTTCTCAAATTTTGAACGGTATATTAAAATGAAACAAAAATTAATTTTTTTAACGAATGATACTAAAACTAAATAAAAACTAAATTTTAAATATAATTTTTTTAAAAATAAAAATTTAAATACTAAAACAAATTAAAATTAATAATTTAAATATTAAACAAAAAATTTAGCCTTAATAATAATACACTGAAATCTAAGACGAAAGCTTTGGGAATGTAAGTTAATTATAATGGGAGATTATCAAGAGGGGTGCTTCATCTCTTTTGGCCTTTGCTCTCTTGTTCTTTTATCTTTCTCCTTTGCTAACGAACTTCTTTTCTCAATTGCATTCGACTAAGCCTGTATGAGAAAATCGTTAATTGAGTTTTACTTTGATTGAAATCGTCATCGTTGTATTAATTTGAATGTTGTAATTTTTGAGTTTGAACATGTTTATGTTATCGGTTTGTTATATTTTGATCATTAACTCGTTAATTTTTGTTGTCCTATTAACTGGTATCTTACATTATGCCGTTTGATCATCAAATGTTTTTAATCAACTAATATCATTTAATAAGATGATGATAAGTGTCGTCATTTTATGATTTGTATTTTGTTTTTTTAACTTTCTCGTCAACACATTTCCAAAAAAAAACTTAATTAGGACACTAATTGTTAGAATTCAGTTGATATCAGATGAATCATTGAAAAAATTAAAACGCAATTAAGAAAATATCATTTTTTTTCTAGATATTTTGAGTTCAAACAGCTACATGTGTACAATTCATTATTAATTAACTAAAAAAAGCTCGAACAAAAATAATCTTATAATTACCATCCTTTGATATGGGACATTGTGGTAGTTATATAGTTTTACTACAATATTTATATTTAAAACAATTAATTTCTATACCACTCACGTTATAACTAAAGCAATAATTTCATCCAGTTAGAGCAATGTATCATAATAGGTCAAATTCTATTATCAGTACTTGTACCGTTGCATCAGTTGTGCATTTTAATATCAGTATGAATTAACTGGAAATGCCCAGATCCTTCTTCAGCAAGTCGATTACTTCCACGGGAGCCTCGGCTCTGCTCATTGTAGCCAGCTTGTCTGCAACGCAATTGGTCTCTCTCTTTACATGTGCCGTTCTTGTGATCCAATCCCGATCCCGTATCTCGTTCGATGCATCCACCAAAGCATTGCCAGCATTGTATCCCGTATCATTTTTGAACTTTTATCGATGATACTCATGTTCGACATTTGTGTTTGACGGCGTTTTGAGAACTGATGAACTTGGTTCATTTTAGTTCGTTTACCTATAAAAAAAAACTCTCTTTTTTCAAGAAAATTACAAGCTAATCAACAATACCTACTGAATACAAAATTGATTGAAACCAGAAAGAAAGTCCCAGATCAACAGTTCAAATTGCAGCATCTAAGTTGAAAATTTCCATAGGAACCAAATAAGAGCAAGCTACACAAAATCGAACAAGAAAATGAATGTAAAAGCCATGAACTTTACCTTGGGGTTTTCAAAAATTCCCCTTAAGCCATGGCATCCCCTAAAACCAATTCCAAAACAATGAATCAGCAATGTTTCCAAAAATTCAAAAAAATAAAATAAAATAAAGAATTAACCATTTAGCAAAGAAATAAAAAAGGAAAAATAGAGAATTTTACCTTCGGGTTTTCAAAAGGGTCGGCTCCGATAATCGGACAACAAATCTGAATGGTGAGAAGTGGCCTTGTGACGGAGGGACCAATATATGCGTTAACATCGGGGCATATTTAAACGAAACTAAGGGTGTATTCGTGTTCATGAGGTAAAAAATGTTCGGACTAAAAAGTTTGAAGCTCAATGGCCAACGAAGACCACCGCGACAACCGCCACCGACGACTCTAAACCAACGCTACGGTTGAAGCGTGAATGTGAGGGTGAGAATTTTAGTTTTAGGTTTTGGGGTATATTTTAATATTTTTTAAATTTATTTTTTATTATAACCCTAAATAATATTAAAATATTAATAAAAATATGTGTTATATAAAAAATAATAAAATAATCCATATCATCAATAAGTGAATAAAAAAATTTAATGTCTAAAATTTAGTGGGCAAATTAAAAAATTGAAAATATGATGAGTAAAACAAGAGAGATAGTAAAGTTTAATGATAAGCGTATAATTTACCCATATATAAATTGAAATCTAAGTATGTAAAGTCAGTTTGGCCATATCTCCCTTCAGCAATCTATCAGTGTTCACATCACATTTGGTTGTGATGTGATGTATGATTTGACAGCATTTGTTAGGATGTCGCTGGACTACCCTCTACTCATTATAATTTTTCTATTTAGTAATACATAATATTATTTTAAAATATTTTTAAAATATTTATATATAAAATACGTGTTATCTAATGATTTTTTTAATTATAACTATAAAAAATATATATCGGAACAAGAATAATTGGTTTTTTACTAAGATTTTTTAAATATCAAAAATCAATTTTAAATATAATTTATGTATTTATTTTAATATTAAACCAATAAAAAATAATAAAGCACAAAGACAAAGGGCCAGTTGGGTGACTTTAAATCTTTTTATCAAATCCAACGTTTTATGCCTTCGTCTGGTTCGATTTTAAAAATGATTACGTGTGACTCTTAATAAAAAAGATATTATTGATTTTATTATTATTTAAATAATAAAATCAGTAAAAAATTATCGAAAACATTATTATTTTTATCGATTTTGTTATTATTAGATACTTTATTGATTTTGTTAATAAAATTAGTAAAACGCTATCGATTTTATTATTTTTTATACCGATTTTATTATTGTTAAGTACTTTATTAAAAATATTAAAAAACATTGATATTTTAAATAAAAATAAAAATATTTTAAATAATTTTACCAATTTTTTTATTTAAATAATAATAAAACTGATATCATTTTTTTTAATTATATATTAAAGGTCTCGTTATCACTTTCCCTTCCTTTTTTTTTCTTCTCTCTTTTTGACCATCTCTTCAGTCCAATACAAAAACAATAAACTTTAAATCACATCAATTTAGGTAAAAATTGAACCTGTCTAATAATTTTAATAATTAAATTTTTTTAAGTAATTATATTTATACGTTATATGTTATCAATAAATTTTAAATAAATTATCTTATAATTATCTTATACTAATAAAAAACATTTTTCTATTTTAAATTAACTTTCTTTTAAGAAGAGCAAATTTATTTACCTGATCAAATTATCTTATAATTATCTTATGCAGATGATATTCATCGCCCTATTATCAGATTTTGGTCCCCTCCAGCTCCTTTGGGATTAGTCAAGGTAAACTTTGATGGCTCTTTCAACCCAAGCTTGGGTAGGGGTAGAGTCGGTTGTGTACTTCGAAACTCTGTTGGTCAGTTCTTGTCGGCTTGCCCTCGGTGTATCATCTACGCCATGGATGTGTTTCATGTTGAATCATTGGCCTGTCACGAAGGACTCTTGTTAGCTGTGTCTTTGGGCTGTCAACGGATTATTGTGGAAGGTGACTCATGTTCCGTCATTTGTAGGGCATCCACATCTATGAGGGATGACTCCTACGGGAGTCTTATTCTGGACCATATTCGAGCTCTTTCGCAGCCTTTTGATATATGTTCTTTCCAGCATATTGGACGCTTTGGGAATGCGGTTGCGGATGCGGTTGCGCGTGAGGGTCTTTCTTCCGGATCATCTTTGCACTGGAACAACAGTCCCCTTCCCTTAGTGATCTCTTTGATTGCCGCTGATATGGTTTCTTGATGTCATATCCTGGCTAGGTTACATGCCGCTTGACGCTTTGGATGTTTTAATATGATTGTACGTACTTTTGCATGGCACTAAAATTGTGTGTTTATCCCAAAAAAAAATTCTAAAATTATTCTAAATGAACTTAAACTAAGGTATCTATCATCGATAAATCTCTCTATCCCATAAAAACTGTACATTATTAATTTTTTTAAATTTTGACTAATTATTATTTATAATTTATAATTGATACAAATATATAAAAATATATTTTAAAACCTTCAATTAGTTTTCAAATATATATTTTATAAAATTTAATTATTTAAAATATTTAAATAATCAAAGTCAAAATTTTAAAAATTTGACGTTAAAAGTCAACAAGAGACATTTTTTATGGGACGGTGGGAGTAATAATTTATCTTTTTATCATAGTACTTTTGTTTTTGAATAATCTTATGATGAATTATAAAGTAATATCTATTTATAAATTATTTTTTAATTAGTGACAACACACATTTTACAAACATAATTACTCGAATTCAAAACTTTAAAGAGAGAACATCACTCTCTTTAATCATTAAATTATCTTACCCTATTCCCATATGTAATGGGGTAAGGGAGAGGTAGGGTAGTTGGCTGCCCCCAACGCTAGGTTGAGAGCAACTTCCGTGAAAGACCTCCAGCAATTATGAATTGCCCACCGTAGAATTCGATCCTACAATCTCAAGGTCAAAAACCTTGTGCTCTACCAACTGAGCTGTACATGACTCTCTTTAATCATTAAAACCTCTTAAATCATCGTGTATATACTAAGAATAAACAACTAATTATGAAATGAAATGCTATGATATATACTTACAAATTTCAATTTTTGTTGAATTAAGAAACATAAAAAAAACCCATAAAACATTACAAATGATCTTATATATACCTTGAAATATCTAAAATCCCATACCCAGTAAACCCTAATATCTGTTGTTCATCTCCGCAGCAATGGAGAGCAGCCTCGACACACCCTGAGTACAAAGATCATGCTCACTCTTGTTCTTGC